TACAGCTATATAGAGACTTTTCGGCCAAAGAGAAAAATAAGAATGCCGAAGAAGAAAAGTATTTATTACTGTTAATGTCGATGCGCTTAGAATGTCCAAATTGCGCGAACCTTTATGGAAACTCCTGTTTTCTTTTAATGGCATATTTAACGCAAATAAAAAGCAAAATAGAAGCGTGCAGATATTTCTGCACTAATTAGAAAACAACGTTACCGGTCCAATTATTATGCTTCGTTGGTGCTGCTTTTTGGTTGGTGTGTAATGATTCGTTTATCGCCTACTTATCAAACGCGGGGCAAGTGTGAAAGGCTAACTTTGTGTAAGCAGCTATTGTTTGTCTAATTATTTGTGATTGAGTTGGGAGAAGGCGTTCTACCCCTCCCAAACCACTTTAATTTGGCCTCCACAGGAAAGTAACGAGCCAGGCGGACCTTTTGATCTTTGTTGGGGGCAAGTATTCATCAGAAGAAATCAAATTTAAATGAAAGAAAACTAAATTGACGCGAAACTCTCATTTTGAGATGCTAGAGGGTTTTATTTTAATGTATCGCGTTGTGAGTGAATCACGGTTTTGTGTACTGCAAATGAAGAGAAGGGTTCAAAATTAGCGTGCATAGTATATAAAAGATAAAGAAGGTATGTGAAACATATAAAAATCTTGAAAAAAAGGGTAGAGCAGATGCTGTATTTAAGGGTGTCAACTGGAAAAAAATCTCAGCAAAAATACGAACTGGTTGCTGATCAGCCGGGCTATCCATGTGCTGATTAAATCTGGCCAGCGAACAATGCCTGCTCAGTTATCGCGGTGCGTTTGAACTATCTGATCCTGCGGATCCTTGCCTCTTCCATACCTCTGTCAATAGGGGTTTCTTTCGTGTCAACCTCTCTACCATAAATTAAGATAAATCGTTTTCTGGATACGATACGTTTGGTCTTCCTTACTTAAACAGAATTAATCTGGGTATACCCAATAACAATTTAACGGGGTTTCTTTTTGCAGAACTTTTGTTGTGGCACCGCTTATTCAAATTAACGCTAAAGGTAGCTATTTTTGAAATCATTATCTATCACAACAACACCTTAACCTGAGCCGTGAAGTCTGTGGCAGCAACGTTTTGGGGTTTCATTTGCGCCCTATTATACCACTGCGCTTATTTGATTCGGTACAGAAAGCGTTTGTGTCTGTGCTTTACACGATGGGTCTTTCTCTCTGTCTTTCACGTCACCTGCCGACCAAGCAGACTTGAGGGATCAGGAGACGATAGGGATCCTTGTATTTGATGAAATGCTGATAAAATCAAGACTGCAAGTCATAAATTAAGCATTTTGCTGTCATGGGACTTTAAAGGAGCAATTGCGATGATTTTTATAATCTACTTGCTCCTATTTTTAATTTGAAGAAAAAAGTCTGAGGAGGAGAGGTACACACCAACGAATAACTTTGATAAGACTTCATCTTCATCTAGTGTCGAGTATTTAGTGGTGATAGGCATAATTTGAGCAACACGGTCATTCATGGGCCACTGAGTAACCCAAATCTGAAGTAAGAACATTTTCGAAAAAATATCCTCAGATGTAAGAATTGAATAATTTGCAAGGTTTCAGAAAATGTTTTAATCAAATATCCCCCTCTCGTAGATATCTTGAGTGCTCCAGTTTAGTAAACACAAAAATGAGCATGAACGGACAGAAAATAAAATGAAAATGAATATCTTGTTGAAAGTAATGCTGCCAATCGTTCAAGGTAAACAAAAACCTGATTCAAAATTAACCTGCTCGACCACTGTTCAATTTTTGAATTATTTGACTTTCCTGGAACCGAGATTATTTTCCTTGCAATTTTATTTAAGATTATTTATGCTACAGTTTACTATTGAATATCTTCTTAAAGATTCCAAATAGTTTCACGTTCTTGATTCAAATTTAAATCAATTATTTCACGCATTCAGATCCTCTCACAGAGGCTATTATGTATATCTTATATACAACGAATGAAAACACTTTGTTCATAGTTAGGATAAAAAAAGAAGGTTGCAGATGTAAAGAAAAATGGATTTCAATGAAATTCAGCAAAACGAGGTATACTGAAATGCCGACAACGATATGAGCATAAGTATCTCAGATTTCAAACAAATAACATTACTGTGCTGAAGGGATTTGAAAAATGGAAGTCGAAGTGGGCTGTCAAGACGCGGTCACGTAAGTGGCTTGGGCGTGTCACGCGTAATTTGAGAGTAACCTGCTATCATCACGACAGACAGTTGTCAGAGTGACGATTACGTATATATATATATATATATATATATATATATATATATATATATATATATATCAATGACGAGAAACTTAAAACGTACTTCAGGAGAGTTTCACGTTAAAACATTTTATGATTGATCTATTTCAGCATAAATATTTTAAAATTTAGTCCTATTTTTTTTAAATAGCTTGGGCAAATGTATTTACTCAAAATCTATATTTCAATTCTGTCTTACCAGTTTTTTCTCTTAGATCGCGCTTTGCTCTCCTTCTAATGGTTCTTATAATTGGGTAATTGTGATCTTTAGCAATAAATTATTCTCTACAATGGGGGCCAGGCTGCTTTGTTGCAAAAAAGACACCGTGACTGAGACGGTTTGCTTTTTTAAAAAATGTAACAGAGGAATGATCACTGCACCTTTAACCTTAGAGATATAAATTTTCTACTCTTCCCAAAGATGTCGACAGATTTTTGGACCAAAATGGCGACTCTGGAGCCGGTGTCCTCGTGCGACAGGTTGCTGCAAGATGAGGACTGAAGATAACACGACTTGCCTGGGGACAAAGTCAAGCAGCCTTCAGAACGACGTGATGACTAAAAATCAAGGGGAGATTGTCTTATTTTTAGACAGGAGAGAGAAAAGGATTAGATACAAGTCGTATTTTGTTTTTATTGAGTTAAACTTCACTGGAGAGGCTGTCTGTTTCTATTTTACAGTGGTGATAGCATTCACTGTGCTTTGGCACAGAGGCAAGCGTTTGATGTTGGAATGAAGAATCCAAAGCTTCTTATATTAGCCTGCTTAAAGTACGGTTACTGAATAATTTTACTGGACAATTTAAATCAATGTCACGCATACGGCTGACTCGTTTTTTAGATCAATAACAGTTCTTTTCACGGAAATAACAACCCAAAATTCCACTGTAGACTCCGCAATCCCGTCTTTGCATATTTCTCTATTCGACCTGTCATTGCTCCAACTTTATTGGATGGCAGCCCTCGCAAATTTGTCGGCAAAATATTTAGTCTTTTATGGTCTCATCAAAATCATCTACAAGATGTAGGAACGGAATTGCTTACATCTATAAGGAAATTCTGCCTGAGACTAAGCAATGCCTTCGATCTTAGATCTCTTTTGCCCGGGCTAGAGTCTCCGATGATTTATCGGGCCACTTATCATCCCTTACCACCATGTTCGTGGTGAAAAAAAGAGGAGAGAGGTGCCAAAGAGTCGGCCGCGCACCATGTAAACCGTCATCTCGGACTTTTTATGCCAAATAACAAATATTTTCTCAAATTTCAGTTACATCAACAGGAAAGAAAACCCTTCACTTCTGTGTGCCTTGGTATCCGCTCCATAATCATTACACCTTGTACCGATGTGTAACTTAAGTGCTAGACGGCTGAGGATGCGTATAGACTGATTTAATTACTATCGGTAATTTAACGCTCAATCACAAACCCAGAGATTTAAAGAATGTGAAAACGAAATTATTTCAAAGGGAAAAGGTAGAGCAAAAGAGGTAGTCGTGGCAGCTTCTCTGCTCAAAGCATTTGTTTATATTCATATAACATATCCGCTATATTTAAAACGTTATCTCAGCCAAGTTAGGTGACTTCAAAGAAATCAACAAAAGTCGAGGCAGACGACCAAAGTAAGCATCAGTGAAATATGATGTTAATGCATGTCCCTGTACAACAAGAGGAGTCCTGCTGCATACTTTTGTTTTCGTAGTTACCAATAAAACTGCCACCACTTAGTATCGCTCACTGGAAATGATATGCGTAGCAACTACGGTGGCATCCGTAAAATTGCCGTTTTCTCACGGTGTGAAATAATGTTATCAGATATTAAACTACTTAACTTGTCTCCCAGTCGGGGACAACCTAGACCCTAGACAACTTGGCATGATCTTACTGTTAAGTTATATTAAAATAAAGCTGGGATGCACGCCATAGATTTCAGCATTATGCATAGCTTTTGCATTTTATTTTTGAAATCCAACAGCCTGGAGTTTCCACAATATTGAATATATCTGTCGACAAAGCTGTTTTCCTAACCAAGCAAAACAAAATAGCTTGTTTCCCATTGCTCATACACATTATATAATAAATATACCCCCCCCCCCCAAAAAAAAAAAAAAATCGACCTTTAGCTTTCCCTGTCATTTGAATACCGAAGTAAACAGAATTATTATTTGCAAACCCAAGATCACAAGCATTACTTACCCCATTTAACGTTATATTCAACACGAAATCGTTTGGCAAATTTTCATTTAATATTTTCTACATCTTGCGTTTCTGATAAACATTTTTGAATCCTACACAAACAAACAAGAGGTTTTTGCTTACTTTCCCTGCGTTGTATAAAACACCAGTAAGCTTCAATAATATATCCTAAATTTCTTGTGTGGTCTGCAGTCATCAGATCTCATTTTATATAAATGCTGGTACCTTTCCCGAGCATGGGGGTGCCATCCGCATTTGCGTTGAAGTGCTTTTGGGTCGTCAAGTTGTCTTAGAATCGATACATAGGGGCGGCTGGATGTTATTGTCAAAGACGGGACATTATTCTTGGGAAATGACAGGATAATACGTGCACACTCACTCCTGGATGCACGCCTGTTTATTGGGACGATAATCCATATTTAATCTTGATCATAACATATGCTCTTGCATTATCACTAACACGACATGGTTTTCAATATGTGATAAAGACGTGTAATCAGCCAATGCGACGCAGTTATATTTTCCGTGAAAAGATGTTTATTAACATTTTAATGCCTCTTTTCTCCAAAGAACTAAAGCTACACTAATATTGCCCAACATATGACAGCATTACCTCCATTCAGAAAAACTCCAGAGATTCAACACGCTTTAAACGTGTTCATGAACCTAAAATATCAGTTTTTTCCTCCTCGTGTACATCTTAAGTCCTATTAAAGCACTTGCTAAATACAATATATATATACACACAAAACACCTAAATATATTCCAAGATATAATTTTCAGTGAGGTTCACAAAAGCACATCTAAACACGGTTAAATCATGAAAAATAATTGCCCTGTCGTTTTTTATACTTTCTTATTCTTTACATTAAAAAGCTCGTACATCTTTTTCAGTCATAATAAATAAAATATTCAATCTGTTCGGTTTCAAATAAGCGGAAAAAAATTAAAGGCAAATAAAAACTGAACAAATCATAACACATAATAATCTAACCACATTCTGCACAAGGGATTTTCTGCATAGCCGAGAATCCTTGGATCTTCAATTAATGTAGTTCAAAATTTTCGGATAAATCCTCACATTGAGAAAAACTAAAATTAAAGAAAAATTAATTTATGCCATCAAATACGTAAGAATTTATTAATGCGATTTTTTGAAATCTTCTAATCCAGAAATAACATCAAAACATCGGTTTTCAATATCTGATTAAAGTATGCGTTTTGAAATAAACAAATCGGAAATTTGAGCGGTACATCAGTCGTGCGATTTTTTTAAAACTAAAATTACTCCAATTGCACCAAAATATCAAAATGTATAATAAAAATACACAAGATGAATATCAAAACTTCAAAATGTAGATAATAAAATTAAACAAAACGGTTTCCAAAACGAAACTCTAATACATCTAACAAGTCTCTATGACAAGTGCACAATACGATTATGTCTATAATGAGTAAATCATTTTGCTAAGTCTGTAATTAATGCACTTAGTGCATTTAATTGTATCTCTATCACGATAAAAGGAACATTTTGTTTGTCATGTGTAATTGTTGTTTGTCGGGTGTAGATATCATATTCAAACAGATTATTGGCATTTTGAAAAAGTACTGTTTAGTAAAAATTGCACAAATCTTTTGTCTAATAATATTTATAAAGCCACAGTACGAACTTACTAAAGCTTGTCGTTTAATAATGCTGCGATTATGAACAATAATAATTATAAGAGTCGTGTCTTTTTATACTGACAGTCTTTTAAATGTCATTAAATTGTTCATAAGTTATAATGAGTTTTTCATTTCAACTTTTACTTCGGATGTTGTCGCTCCTTGACTGCTGGAGTTGGACGTTGGTTGTTGTGGGGAGACGCTCGGGTTAGCGTTATTCTGTCCCCCGGGTGAACTGACGTCTTGGCTATTTTCACTATCTTCCCCCTCTTTCTTTTCACTGTGCGTCTTAACGTGTTTCGCAAGATGATCACTACGCATAAACCGCTTGTTACATACGGGACAAGCAAAACGTTTCTCGCCTGTGTGAGTCCTCAGATGGCGTTGAAGTTCGTCTGAGCGAGTAAATCGCTTACCACAGAACAGCCAGTTACATACAAATGGCCGCTCTCCCGTGTGCCATCTCAGATGCGCCTTCAAATGTGAGGTTTTACCGTACACCTTTCCGCATCCAGGAATATGGCAACTGTGGATGTTTTTCTTCAAGTGAGCCCCCGCAGGACCCAGGCGCTCTGCCTCTTGGCAGTTCGGACAATCACATGTCGCTCGCCCTGAGTACCTGCGCTGAGAGCGCGGACTAGGCATCCCGCTCAAGCTAGGACGCGGGAGAAACGAACTGGCCATGGTGGAGCTGGACAGGTCATTCTGTGACGGCAACATCGACTTGTAAGTGTCCTGTAAAAGGTGTTGTCCAGACGACAAGAACGGGGCAGGATTTGAGCTGAAGGGACCTAAAGCGTAATCCGAGGAGGGATAGTTAGTGTTTGAGATCGCTGTGTGAAGAGCACCCGTGGCCCCGGGGGCCTCTGAGAACCAGCTGGTCGGGGTAGAGTGAACGTCCCACCACGGAGACGTAGAAGCGACGCCGCTGCCGACGTCAGGGTGCTTTGGGATAGACGGATGTGAAGTGTTGAACGGCCACGACTCGTAGGGATGACTAGAGACAGGCATGCGAGAGTACATACCTGAAAACCCTGAATTGCTCATGGCGGCGTTATCTGCGTGGACTTTTTGTATGATTGCCGAATTAGAGTCTGTCTGCCCCGTTGAAGTTGTCATGCTAGGGTACAACAATTCACTAGAGTAAGACGTGGGACCGGCCGTCGTGACCGAGGTCCGCGGGTAATTCAAACTACTGGTTGTCATCGAAGCGCTGAGGGCAGTCACGCGCTGTGGAGAGCCCAGTGAGAGTGATTGGCCGGCTGACGTGGGGGAGGTCGGAGGTGAAGTCTTTTTCCAGGGATGGAAGCCTTTCCCTACTGCAGCGTCCGCTAGCGGTGGCGGGCTTTTGTTGCTTATCTTGTTACACTGTGCGGCCAGCATTGCTAGCGGTGTACCGCCAAAAGGGTGATGATCCTGTAAAGATAAAAAACAGCAAAAATTAGAAAAAAGATTATATTTAATTAACACCTGATAATACAAAAAAACAATAATGAATAAACCAAAAATGAATATGCACAAATGGTTCTAGGTGTGCATTAAGCAGGAAATCAAAACGGGTCTTTCAGATTCAAAAAAAAAGAAACAGTTCCATACTTTTCTCACCACATCAAGAAAACTCAAATATAACGTTACGCTCTTTTTTGTCTCTATTTATAACAGTACAAATCAAATACTAACTAAACATCAATTGACATCCACTCCAGCCCAATAAGGAAGCTCTTCAGATTGAAGAGGTAGATAATTTAATTGCTTCCGGACCTCAAAAAACTCGGACCGACTTGGCCAGAACTATTGGCGCGTCGCGCACAGCTATAACTCACTTTTACGAAGTTCTGCACAGTGGTGCAGCAGTTTAAACACTGGTGTATAGCATTCAACTTTTACCCACCGCAGACTCAACGTGATCTGAGGATAGTAGCCTACTTCACCACCAGAAACAATTAAATAATATTAAAATCACAATCACTGCTATGATTCTATATCTCCAGCAATCGTTTTCCCCCCTTTTTTTAATACCAACAATTTCTCTGTTACATTTTCTGCTTAATTACGCCTACCAATATAATGTTCCCCGTTGTGCATTCCTATCAAAATTTCACTCGATATTTCGGTTCAATTTAAGCTGTTTGGGTTGCTTTGAAAATTTCTTTAATGATCACTTTCAATTTTGAGAAAGTTTCTTGATGCTCAGTAGGGAAGTCTGCAGATCAGAAAGTATGCCTCAAATAGCATAATTCCGCACGTGCCCTTTGTCATGTAAAAGTAACAGAGAGAGAGAGAGAGAGAGAGAGAGAGAGAGAAAAAGAGAGAGAGAGATAGCTGTAGCTGTAGCTGTAACTGTGAAGATGAGGATCCCGTTTTCGATGCTCTGCATAAAAAACATACAAAAGAAAAAAAAACGCGATTTAACACAATAGTAAACACACGACACAAACCCAGTATGTCAATGTCTTCTACCTCTTCAGTTTACCGCCATACAACGATGTTCATCGACGCTTTTGACAGTTAAAATAATAATCGTGCTTCTTTATAAGTAGCCCCCACAGAAAACAAGCACTAATTACACCCAATTAGATTTGTAAAATGTGGTAGTAAGCTATCACCTTTGCCCGGACTGCTACAGTTAATAATACCATGACGCGTGTACATGTTCTGATGTTCGCTGTGATTACTCACAACAAACCAGCCTCAAGAACTCGAGGTGGTACTTATTTTTCAAAGGAGCAGCTTAATTTTTTTTTCTGCAGTTCTAAACATTGAGCCTTTGTTAAGGTGTTTCTCTGGTCTTTTTTTTTGTTCGGTTTAAAACCATGAGCGTTCTGTGTGATACAAGTCATTGAAAAAAATCCATTCGCAGAGTTGTCAAGGAAACATGCTTTTTTTTCTCTCTCTTTCTAATCAACCTGTAAAGAACACAGAAGACCGAGCCAGTCTGGCGCCTGGCGGCCCGCATAGACTTGTATCCTGTGCAGACTTAATTGCAGAGGCGGCCACCGTATCTTCTACTTTTTAAAAAGTCCCTCACTCACTAACGTTGTCTACAGTACATAAGTAATTAATGTCACGTGTCTTGCGTCTCTTGATACACTCGAGTCCGTCTCAGGCTTTACTTCTTTTAACATCCCGGCCCCTCCCCACCCGGCCCACTTTCCACCTCTCTAAACAAATACTTTACGCTCCAGAACCCAAAGAGCCTGCCTCTTTCACACTGAACTTTGTGAAGAGAACGTGGCGGTTTCCCGACGCTGAAAAGTATGGGGAATTTTATATTGTACTGCACAAAACCTGTAGGTACCCACTGCCGTTGGTATAAATCAGAAGAAAAGCACAGTCGAAGATCGCTCTTTAATCGCACCGAATGTCGCCCTATGTCATTGAGAGGAGTTCATGATTACTGTAATCAAAAAGACTCATTCAAAAAATACGTGTTAATTAAAGTACTTAACCCTCCGTGGACTTACCGATTTCGTGCTACTATCATCTACACTTATCTGCGGAATCGCTATTGTTAATCCACCGTCGAACAAGTCAAACATTTTGCAAAACAAACTTTAACTTTTGTTAATCCCACTTCCCAGTTCCAGTAACGTTAGTTGTTCCTTCGACGAATTTGAATACGGTTCTGATAGAAGATCCCTTAAGAGGCAGAATGCATTGCGACACGTCGAATGCAAATTAATATTGATAATTATGTTAATGTTTTGTGTTTTCATCCACTTAAGGTTTGATGACAGACAGATGAGGATAGTAATGCAAATCCGCGTTAAAAACGGGCTATCGTCAGGTGAGCACTAAGATGAATAGGGAAGAGAAAGGGCTTTAAGTGCAGTCGCCTGAGAGAATTTAAGTATTCCCTCTCGGTGGGTCGCTCGCAGATTCTCCCTCGGTCATTTCGCATGTGCCGAGAACGCTTAGCAGTTTTGCTCGGCTCCGCAAAGCTTGTACGGTGACAAAGGACCCAGTCCCATCAGTCGCGGCGTTCCCATGTTTGAAACTGCGGGTTTTTCAATATTTCTACAAGAGCCACACTGAGTTCAAACTGTCCTAATCCCATACCCCTTCCACTTCATTAACTTGACTTGAGTAAATGACTTCCAATGTTCAATCCAGGTGGATGGATTGTGCCCCTGTCTTACTCATGGAATCAGTATTCAGCTGCACTCTACTACACAAAACCGGCTTAGATATTAAAAAAGTTTATTGCGGGGGTTTATGTTATGCGGACAGATGCAACTTTATCAGAGACGACGATGGCATAAATACAGATTCTAATTAATAGCATATAAAAACGAAATAGAGCATGTTAATTAAAATATCACCAGATTGCGTTTGAGAAAAAAATGCATAGATTAAGAATTGACATATCCTCCGGCATCTCTCGAGAATATTGCGCTCCGACAGTCAGACGCCATCCTCTGCGTCTGAATCCAAAATAATAGAATTCTACATGGTCATAAAGAAATGCTTGTCAGCTGGTGAAAAGAAGAGGAATGTTGGAGTGTGAGAACCGCATTATGTATGCATAATTCACTTTCACTCATGTCATATCATCTTTACAAAATGCATGAAAAATTAACCGATGCCCATTGATAGGGGGAAGATTTGAATAATATTTTTATATCTATTGCAGCTCTCGGTATTATTTATTACAGGACTACCCATATTTTCACTCTTCTTTTTTTCTGTTTCTGCTAAGGCATCCGCCCGTTCATGTGTCATGTTGACAGACGTCGTATTTGCTCACACTATATACTCGTCAAGTTCCGATAATTTTCCGTGTCGTCCTGCAATTTTCCTAAGACAACTTTATTTTGTCCACTTCCGCATCAAGCACGTCACCCACTCTATGCCTTGAATCATCACTAAACGATGAAGTTCCACGCAAATCTCCCATCTTGAAATCGACATTCCGTGAAAATCGATTCCCAAACCCCCTTGTTCTCTTGTACCATTGTTATAACTTCTTATCTGTCTTTTGTCTCCGGAGAACGATTGAAGTGAATCAAAAATAGTGTTGTTATTATCTATCTATGTCTGGAAACATGATGATGATGTCTTTATTATCTTTGGTTAACTCACAGGACGTAACTTTATAGCTGATAACATGCCACAATCAAGTTAGCGGGAATTACCTTGTTGACAATCCCCTTCCTTCAGCATTATGTGGGCATGATAGCTTTCAATAAAATAAATGAGTATTTTACAATGTCAATTTCACCATTCATAATACACTCAAACAATCCAGCTATCATAATTTAAATCCGTATATTAAAAAATAGACTTTTGGCATGCCAATTGCATCAGCTGAAAATAAATTAATTTTTGACATGAGAGCTTATATTTGGATGATTTTTGGCCGTTGAGTAAATGCCCTTGCTTTTATATTTTAAAGCTGTTTAAAAGCAAATATATATCCAAGTTTTAATTTAACCTACATCCCGTAGCAAAAGTACTGGCGAATACTTTCCAAGTAGACAAAGATAAATATTCAAGACATAGCCCTTGTACATGCAAGTTGGAGTTAATTCTTTGGGGAAATTTTATCGGAAAGCTCACGAAATCTCTTCGGTTATTTGATATAGCACCATGGTCACAGGTAATGGAACTCAAAACTTAGGAAAGATAATTTTCTTACTTTTAATTTATGCAAGATAGGTGTTCACTCAAATATACATATTCACAGATGTAGCAAAAGTTACGCAAAAGATGAATAATTATACCATGAAGCAACGCACTGCGTCACCCTTACCAGTTAATTCAAATGGCCGTTCATTTTCAAAGAAGAACGATAACTGACCAATGACCAAACCGCGGACTAGGACAGCACGTAAATCAAGACCAAAGCAGCCTCCAACCGCGTTTAACGTCACTCTAACATGTAACCTGCTGTTCACTAATGAACATCACAAAACCCTTTCAACATAAGTCAATCTCAAGTAGGTCGATGGAATAATAAGGAGAAACAGAGCTTACCACTAAGAGGAATATTTACAAAATTGAGAAGAATAGGGGGATATTAAGAAAGGTTCTACTCTTGGCAGTTCTTCATATTATTAGTCAGTTAAGAGTACAGCTGCTAATTTTAGATTTGATGAAGCTTCAGGGTAAAAAGCCCTCTGCGTGTGATAAAGCAGTAAATGAACAACAAATAGACACAACCGCCCTTCGCTGAGAGAACCTGCACGGGTAAATTAAACCTTTCTTCCCCGTGAGTATAAATCAAATCCAATACGAAAGTCTTTCCCAATCATTCACCAATACTTTTCGGTCATTAAGTCGGGGTGTGACTAGCACAAAAGCAGTGGCAAAAGCAAAATAGAAATTACTCGACTGAGGCAAAAAAAAAAATAATGATACAAATAGTTCACCGTGCTTTGATTTTTGCTTGTTGTATGCAATTATTTTTTCCCCGACTGTAACAAAGAGAATGTTCTGCAAACCAAATGAGGGCAAGAATTTTAACTCATTACAGCGATCTTTATCTAAAGGTGAAATAAAGGGCATGCCAATTGTTACCACGAGATTTTAGCATGTTTAGGTAGTGATGATTTTCAGTTAATAAAATACTGTGTTAGTACGTTAAAATGGCGCAATTATTCTGAACCAAAATGTTTCGTTGAAAATGCATTTTGATGTCTACAACAGTGACTGAAAAAATTAGTATTTAACCTCCTAAAAAAACGATATTTCTTTTCTTAAGTAACCTGAATTTGATAAATGCCCCGTCCAGAATATGATTCATTGCACTAATAAATTAAATGTAATATTTTATCTAAATGCAGCCCAAGCAATTGTCCCATTCTGTTTAAATATTCCTTATATTACTACATGAAATTTACCTCATAAATATTCTACAGATATTTCAGATTCTCAAGTGCTCTTTTCCTTTTTCCTAGTGATAATACGATTTTCATATATAAAAGCAGTATTTCTTTTAAGGAGTTAAAAATCACTTTTTCATTCCCCCCTTTGTTTATACCTCTTGTTCAATGGGTATATTAGACGGATTTAATTTTAATTTTTTTTCAGTGCTGTATGATAATACACGATAAAAATGGAATCATGCATAAACATGGTGACATCAGAATATAAATTATAGTTGATAACGCTATCTCCCGTAATTTGCTGGGATATCATCGATGACAGACATCACTGGCAGACCCCGTTTTTATGCCTCTTAATTGGCCGTCAAATGAGGGGGCTGGAAAAATTATATGGCATACCCCATTAAGCCACCACAAGATCAGAGTCCAATTTACCTCAAATAATTAAAACAAAAGCGTCACCGAGAAATAAAAAAAAAACATCAAATTTCGGTGCACGCGTTCAGCGTACATAACATTAGGATGTCACCTTCACTAAATGATAAAAATATTAAAAAATATATATCATTACGTCCTTTCATGTATAATATAGCACTGAAATACCTCCAAAAGTCACATGTAATTGCAAGAATGCCTGCATATTGAAAAAAATCAAAACCTTGGGTTTAGTTACCGTGGGATTTTAATCGACGAACACATTTAATCCATGTTTTACACGTTAAGTCATGCACGAGACATTGTCTCCTATTCCAGCAAAGTCAAAGAAATGCGAAAATATTAGCGAATAACTTGAAGAGACGATAGTGATAGTGTGTGTCTGTTTAAGTAAGTAATTGCTCAGCAAACAGGTAAAACAGGACTGGTATAGTCACAGAACAAGTAAATCAGTAGATAAACAATTATGCACTAAGAGCTCTTAATTACGCAACAGAGGTGAGCACGATGAAAGGCAATTGGTTTGGTGTGAAAATATTGTCAAATGTGAACAGAGACGTTTTTATACAATAGTCATTAAAAGTCATTTTCCGCGATTAAAAAAAACTGATTCAGTTTCATTAGGGAGAAAAGTTTTAGGCTGCCTTATGCATTCAACCGATATATGTAATGAAATATTCACCCTTAACATATTGGTACTTACTGCGTAGTTATAAACTGGGAGCATCATTCTACTGAAATGCCCGTCACATTGAGAAACCAAATAGGCGTTTTTGTTGATCTCGCAGCAGCAGAAAAAAATCACAAAACCAAGATGTTGAATAATTCTGTCCTGTGGTTAGCCCTATCTGACTCAATAAGAATAGCTGGCCGTCCCAAAGGTTATCTCCTTCTAAAGCTTGAAGTGCACAGAGGCGGAGAGGAGGTTGGCCCTGACCGGCTAACTATAAACTAACTTCTCTCGGTACTACCTACCCCTAGAATGCCTGCCGCCATGATCCGGGATAGTTATGAAGGCTGGCCGATTTTCACGTCGGTTGCTCTGCAACTCAATCGTTGATGTTACTCTATACAACAAGGTGTAGATCGTAAACGCTTAGACACGCCCACTGCCGGGGCCATTGTATGTCGAGACCTTTATTTTGATCTGCCGCCGTTACTTAATGAGGTTGGGCCACTGACACATCCACCGATGATTGATTGCTCACATGACACCCCTGACCCATTTGTTGATATACAAAACAACCTCTCGCTTCGAAAGAGTTCAACTCATCTGCAAAAAACTCGACAATGATTGGTTGGAATTTTTGGAGGGGTGTTGTCAACATGTTATCATGATAGTGGTAATATTCGTAAATCTTTGTAAGATAATGTGAGTTTTTGTTAAAGGATTCTTTTCGAATGCATCAGTAAATATAAGTTTTTCTTCACCCATTGACATCGCAGAACGATTACCTGAAAGTCCGAAAAGTTCAGATAACTTCTTTGTACTTTTCGCTTGGCATGATGGCTATAACCACACTGTCGCTGCTTCGAAAATAATTTAACATAGAACAGAGAAATTAAAAAACCACAGAAAGTGAACGCAATTATTTTTGCGTTACCCATCTAAATAAAAACTGCTATAAAACCACGAATTCCGTAGTGCAATTATCTGAACCGCAAACAACTTAGAATAATTACTGGATTATTAACAAATTAACTATTTTGAAACTTAAATATATTTTTTATTCCATTTGCCTTTTTCTTCTTTTCCGTTCTTTTTCTTTTGCAGTTAAAAAATTTAAAAAAAAAAGCTGCAGTTTTCTTAAGATTCTGTTTAAGTTAAATTTCAAAGTAAAGTGGACAAATATGGAACAGTCTAGATCTATACTTATTGATATTTACACTATTTTTAAACAACTGTTTACTATCTCCACTATATTACAAAAACATCATTTTATGTTATGGAACTGCTTAGCTTTAGCGATGTCTTGTCATCACTTCTGCAAATAAACAAAACTTGTATAATGTACTATTGTTAGCTCATAGTCTTTTTTGTGTTACAGTGAGTAATGAAAAAAAAACATTATTATTATTATTATTATTATTATTATTATTATTATTATTCCACCACAATATGTTCCTACATGCAACACGCTGATACATATCTTACGTCGCCCTGCAATAATTTCCCAGTTGAAAACTTTCAACACTATGGTCTAAATAATGACCAAACCATTTATCACGCCATAATTTTTGCACTAAGAAAGTACCTGATCACTTGAATAATACCCAGTCTTCGGGGGTCCCCTCCAGCGACCGTAAATCACAACGTCCAGCGTGACAGCTGGGCACTTAACCACGGGAACTATCAAACTCCCTTAGTCGAAGTTAATCAGCTTCTTACAACTGTTGGACATTGACTACCCTCTAATTTTCTCCGGCAGTCAATAGAGGGAGTCGTCAAGGGTAAGTTTATCATAATCGAATGATGCAACATACAACCGGATCACTTAACTTTAATTTACTTCAAGGCTATGGATAATTTTGCCACCATTTCCTCCACTAACAAGTATGTGACCTTGGGGGGAACCCCTATGTTACACCACTCCCCCGCCCCGTCCGGCCTAATGACGCAGCAAGGGCGTTGCTAGCCGGCCCCAAGGAGGGAGAGGGTGGGAACGTGGGACCCAAGCGTGTAATTCGCCCACGAGTTTAAGTTCTATCATAGGAATAAAACATTTAAGAAGCACCTGCCTCAATTCTAATAATTATACATTTAGTCTATGATTATCAATAATAACAAAAGGAATGGAAGAAAAACTACGCGACTGCAGTGTACAGACTCAATAATAGTCGTTTTCAAGAAACACAAAAAATGCTATACAGATTAAGCTGCACATCTCTAGACAATAATAGACTAACCTCGGTGAAAAAAGAATGCACAGAGTGAGGATAGATTGTTAAAAATCAAACCTCTGTTTATTGCACTTAACTGATGGTTTTCGCCAGTTGCAGTCAGCCATCACTGATTGCCACTTGACTCGGTTGCTGCAGCAAAAGTTTTGGTGCAATTACCCGTGATTATGCCGCAAGCATTGCCAATAAACTCATTAAGTAAAAAGCGCGTCACGAGAGCTCATCTTTGCAATAATAAAGACTCATAACTCATCAGGCAAAAACCCACAACAGGGTCGTGACTTCAGCGCCTCCAATTTGGAAAATGCACTCGAAAAATCGATGTCCCCGCAACTCAAGCAAACAATTTTTCAAAATCATCTTTAAAGTTAAAAAATGCCAGTAATAAACCTATCCTCTTCGCAAGCTACTTTCAAAATTGATAACAGAAATGAAACTTTTTTTTTGAAATTATAAATAGTCTTTTAATGATGAATTGCCGCTACCTTACAGGATTTCAGTCGAGACAAACGCGCTGTGCAGCGAATCACCGACTTCCTGCAAAACCTTAAATAACAGAAGCTCATTGTCGCTCGACTGGTTGTCATGAAGTTGGAAGAAAATTCGCTCAATATTAGAGAAAAAAGTTTTGGGTAGACCACGATTGGCTGCACAAATAATGCTCGTAATGAACCACTAGCGCAGGGAATTTGTGAATTTGCTGAAAAGCATTGTCTATGTATGAGAAGCGGCCTGCTGGGAGCTCAACAAAGCCGTGCACTTCCACTGACTGCGAGGCCACAAAGAACGCACCACCGTCAAAGACGGCTTCCCCGTCAACCCGAGCACTCTTCAGGTGTTCGCAGTAGATTCTCAATGGCTAGCGGCACTTTAATCTTCGCCAAATTACATTGTAAATCTGAGAGGATTTGTTGTTGAGATAAGCCGCACTAGCCATGTCAAGACAGAAAAAAGAGAAAATATGCGTGCGGTTAAAAACACCTGATCGTCCAGGGCTTTGAAAATTTCATTAAAATGTTACATCTTCCGTTTTGTTCTAGTTATCAGTATTTTCCCTCTTGGTCTGTAAATTTAGGTAATGCGTTTCGTTCTTTAATCATGCAGCTGGTTGACCAAATTCATAAAAACATAAAGAAAAGACGTTCTCAGCACGAAAACACTAATATGTGTGCACGCGGTCGTAATAATGTGTACAAACGTCAGGCGATGGACCCAGAATCAACCTCTATTTCTTATTTCATCTCTTTAATTTCATAAGAGTTGTTTTCGTGCCAGTTAAAGCATTTAGTTTTCAGCACAATACATTTTCGCGCGATATAGGAGATAATATTGGGAGTGGTTATCGGCGTATTTTTTCAACAAAAACGAATGAGACAATGAAAAGATAGAAGTAGCAAACTAGCATTTCGTTAATAAAATGGGCGGCTTTGAAATGACAAAGACATAAATAAAAAGGTAAATTATTTAGGACGAAACACTGCAAGATAAAAGGTAACAAGTGCCAAGGCGGTAAGGAACCCATTAACAAGCGGCTAAATGTTGAATAATAAATACTGTTCCTTTAGTTTATGATAAAGACTAGTTTGTGCCTTATATTTTCCTTTTCCCGATATATATAAATAATGACTGAACGCTTCATACATGCTAGTTATGAATCGTTCTAGCAAAACCCACAATAAATCAAGGTAACAACATACTTTTACGTGGGTCCCATATTATCATCATTTGAGTACTGCAAAAATAGATTTATAGATAATGTAAATTAATAATTGCCCAACCAGCAGATCGTTTGTTAAGTAAGCCATCAGCAAAAAATGCACTGTTTCACTACACTTGCTTCAAGTTTTTTGCTATCATGTTATTGCTATAAATACATTCTTTACAAAAGTCTAAAATACAATAAATTATGGAGAAAAGTAATTAATGCTACAACACCGTTTTTAAATGACCAAGTTAGAGTCTCTGATAACCGTTAATGTTCACAACGTCTGTTACAGCATGCAGTTGGTTTAATGAAGACATTAAATTATCAAGTATTTTATGGCTTATGACACGCGTGACTTTGTTGCCACTCTGCCATCAGCGTCATCCCGCAAACAAGAATGTAGTAGTTAATTATTTAGATACAGCTTTGATTGAACATGAATCAATCAACAGATTAAAATGTGCACCACGCAATTTAAACGCACCCAGAAAATAATTTTCAGTTGATGAAATCGTTGATTGAAACCAAATAGGAGAGAATCAGTCGGCCACTTGGTTGAGATTGTTTACCGGACACCTATTCTGAACATCAGATGAAGGATCAAAGGGATGAAGAAAATGAAGCGCGCTTTCCTTATTGTATATCAGTGTGCACAATGCCTCTTCCGATCACCTGGCGAAACTCCACAGTCTTCCCTCTCACATGCTGGCTCCTTTTGTGCCCTCGCTGTATTGCTCGATCGATGCATAATCACTACTGTTTTCAATTTCATTTTAATGGTCGCTAGTTAGGGGCAATCTTCTGTAATTTTCATTAGTTTGTAATGTAATTCCTCGCCCTAAGGAGGATTCTAGATATGGGTTTTTTCTTCGACAAAAATTACCGAGTGTTGTGTTGAATACAACAAAGCAGCTGGAAGAATGACCGAGAATGTGCTTGAATGCGAATATAAACGGGAAGATTGGTGGACAATTGTTCAAAACTTAATATTGTGTTAAACATGAATTGACAAGGCAAGATGATTCGAAATGTGATTAGACCCGATCTAACGCGACAAGTTAATCCC